ATATTGCCTCCAAATATGACTGCCCAATTCTTTGTAGTTTTCGAGATGTGACGTTTTTTGTGATTTTTTCAAAATTTTCAGTAAGTACAAATTAATTATTTTTCGAAATTTGAAATTCCCAACACCATAGTTCGGTGTTGTCAGGGTACTCTAAAGAGTTGCAAATGTTGCCACATGCAAATGATAAACGCGACTTCTGAACTGCTTTTAATTTACGAGATGTGACGTTTTGATTTTTTCAAAATTTCTCAAAGAACTTATCTACAAAGAAATTCAAAAAATTTGAAACTACCAGCTTGATGAAGATACAGCCTTATTGTCAGCGTACACCCAGGCGTCTCAAATCTTGCCTTTTAATATGAATGCTCAAATCCTTTTAGTTTCCGAGATTAGACGTTTTTTTTTCATTTTTTTTTCGGGAAACTTAGGCTTAAAAAAGTTCACAAAATTTTGGATTCCTTACCCTATAGTAGGGTGCTCTCAGGGACTCTCAGTGGTTGCAAATTGGGCCTCCAAAATTCTCCAGAGGCCCACTAAGTTTTTGAGATGACGCTTTTAAAATGGGAATTAAAAAAAATTTAAAGTTTGTAATTGGTTGCAGTCAGAGTACAGTAAAATTTGCAGATGTTGTTTCCAATATATGCGGTTTTTACTGAGTTGTCAAAAAATTTCGAAGCACCGAAGGTGCGTTAAACGCTAGTTATATATTTAAATGCGGGCTTCACTATCTCGCCATGTTTAAGCTTTTTCAACGTATTATTTTTGCTATATCGTATATTGTAATGGTTAAGAACTTTTTTTTGATTTTCCAATTTGATTTTAGTGGTAATTTTACCGAATTTAAGTTAAGCAGCCCAATATCGAATTAGGGGTTGCAAATTTGACCTCCAATTTTGAATGCCCGAATCATTTTCGCTAACGAGATAAGACGATTTTTGAGATTTTTTCAAAAATTTTCAGAAGTTTCCAATAACAAAATAATTTACAAAACTTGAAGTTCCCAACCCTGTAGTTGGGTGCTGTCGGAACACTCTAAGGAGTTACAAATCTTGCCTCCAAATATGACTGCTCAATTCTTTGTAGTTTTCGAGATGTGACGTTTTTTAAGATTTTTTTCAAAATTTTTCAGAAAACTTAAATTATTATTAGTTTTTAAAAATCTGAAATTCCCAACCCTGTAGTTTGGTCCTGTCGGAGTACTCTCAAAGATTGCGGATCTTGCCTCGAAGTTTGACTGCTCAATACTTTGTAGTTTTCGAGATATGACTTTTTCTGCGATTTTTTCAAAATTTTTCAGAAAGTGCAAATTAATTATGTTTCAAAAATTTAAAATCCCAACTCTATATTTCGGTGTTGTCAGGGTACTCTAAAGAGTTGCAAATGTTGCCACATGCAAATGATAAACGCGACTTCTGAACTGTTTTTAAATTACGAGATGTGACGTTTTTGATTTTTCCAAAATTTCTCAAATTCTCAAAGAACTTATCTACAAAGAAATTCAAAAAATTTGAAACTACCAGCTTGATGAAGATACAGCCTTATTGTCAGCGTACACCCAGGTGTCTCAAATCTTGCCTCAGTGGTTGAAAATCTGGCTTCCAAATTTTTCCAGAAGCCCATTAAGTTTTCTAGATGACGCTTTTAAAATGGGAATTAAAAAAAAATTGTAAGTTCGAAATTACCAACCCTGTAATTGGGGTGGTAAAAACGGCAGATCACTGTAAAATAAATTCCAGAAACGTTTTCGACATAAAAGTCATCATCAGCCAATCTAAAAAACAAAACACCTGTAAAACCGGAATGGAATTGGATGTGTAGAAATTACAAAAAATGTATAAAAACTAACATTAAAAAGAATATAAAAATAGCATCAGTTAAGACCCGAGTTAGTCATGTGACTAAAACAAACGGACTTAAAAAACCACACAACTTGACTGTGAGGTACCGCTGCCGGTATTCCTCGTGCGTGTTGAGGGCAGATCTTCTCCTCGAATTATAAAGCGCTTCTAAGGTCAAAAGTTTATTCGTGTCCAAGCATCCGTCTAAAATTCTCGCCTCAACTGCAGCCTTGTCTGCTCCGCCGGGGCAGAGTCCCTAAGGTGTTCAATTTTTCGGGTGATCAGGTGTCGGACGGTCTGTCCAACATAGCAGGAATTGCATCCTGGACAACATATCTCATAAACCACCCTACTCGTCAAATACCTAGAGAAATCTGTTTTCAAAGTGGGAAGACAGGTTCTGAGTTTGCGGGTCGTGAATATTGTAGAAATACCACAGTTTTGCAGCCTTATCGCGAAAATATCAGACACTTTTCCTCGATACTGGAACCGGATAACTGGTTTCTTGATACTTTCAGGCTTTATTGAATTGGTTGTTGCTTGTGTGGTCGTGATTTTAAGAAGAGAATCTGTCACTATGGTTTCATAAAAAGCCGGAGAAAACTGATTTGTTTCCCAATCATTTTTTGCTTTCCTCAAACCTTTATCAAAGGCCTCCCAAGTGGAAGTGGAGTGATCAATTCTGTGACAGGTGCCCTAAACAATGTTTCTCTTGTATTTTTGTGGCGCACAGGCGTGAAACCCAAGGGTGAGTCCAGTGTCTGTAGGTTTGCTGTACCATTCTGTGCTGATAGTACGGCCGGACTGTCTAATAAGCATATCGAGAAAAGGAAGCGTCCCATTGAGCTGTAATTTTATTGTGAACTCCAGGTTTGGATGTAGCGTATTCACATATGATAACAAGCGATCAATCTCAGCAACCTTGACCGAACGCAGGATGTCATCTACGTACCTACCAAAAATTTTTGCTTTAGCACCGCAACCACCATTCCAATAATTATCATCCATACCTTTGAGCTGGCGGATGGTTAAATTGGTGCTTTTAAGATGAAACCATCGGTCATAGTCATCACAGCAAATAGAAAAACCTTCATCCAGGACCTCCAACATGCACGTGCCACAGGGATAGCGCTCTTGTGAACCATTGCTGTTGAAGTTATCAGGTGGTTGTCTGCTGATTCTCTCTTCGAAACTTTTCATCCAGATATTGGCAAGAATGACTGCTAAAGAAGAACCCATCGCAGATAAAATAAACATCTGTAACCGCCATTCTCATGAGATCTTTAAAAGTTTCTTTATCAACAGGAGGAAGTTCCTCCGAATTATTGAAAATGTCTGCTGCTAACTCGATCGACTTTAGGACAGGGACGTTGGTATATAGGCTCTTGACGTCGAGAGAAACAATAACTTCGTCTTCCTCTAAACTCACCCCCATCAAGTCACGTTTGATATTGATAGTAGACGTCTCTATTTCGGCTTCTTCAATTTTATCATACCATTTACTCAACTGGTTGGTAAAATGCTCATAACAGCTACCCGGGAGAGACAGAGCTGGACGGAGAGGTGTTTTCTGTTTATGTACTTTCGCCAGGCCATATAGTCTCGCCGGCTGAGCACCCGTAGATCTGAATTTACTGTATAAATCGGGTAAGATCTTCCCCGCACGAAGTAGTGACATGAGGTTTCTATTGAACGTCGACACAATCGGAATTAAAACACCCTTCTTTCTAGAATCATCGAAAGGCTTGAACTGTTCTCCATTCAGAATTTCTAAGAGTCGTTCGCTATAATCTCCGGCAGACATCAAACAGTAGCTAGCACCCTTATCGAAAGGGACAACCTTCAAGTTGTTCTTTTTGAGATAAAAGGTAACCATTTTTACTTCGCGGTCAGGCCTCTGTCTCTTCATCTGCTTGAGATAACCAACCGTCAACGCGTTTACTTCGTTCATAGCATCAATATTTGAGTCATCATTTTTCATTTGAGCCAGTACTTTGTCGATATCTGCCAAAAAATGTATCTCATTGAATTGGTCCAGAACAGGGTGCTTGGGACCCAATGAAAGCAGATCAATAACATACTTCGGTGGCTCCAAATCACCAATAATTTTGACAGTATTTCCCACAGATCTCAAGGGTTTTTCCTGTTCGGCAGCCAGTGCCACAAGTTTTTTGTTGTGTCTATCATGAATAGTAAGGCGTTCCGCTCTGGTGTTCCTACGCGAATGCCAAGCAACAGAGAGAAGTAAATAATCTGTGCATTTTTCTTTCAGAAATTGTCGGGCGTTGCGTGACTGAACCGATCTCATGATCATTGTCCGGTGTGCTTCCGACACCTCTCGTCGTAGTAGTCTTCTTTGAAAGTTATGGACTATTGTTGCCTCAAAGCAACCATTTTCAGGAATACGAAACTTGAGGAAGCGGGGAATTAAGTCATTGCTCAGACACTTTTTCAAAAATAAAATACGTTGTTGACAATTTGTCCCTTTTGTCAAAGCCGCTGTGTAATCCAAATAAATTTTCCAAATCCCGTCTTGCTGTAATATCTTCTTCAAAAGTTTAAAAGGGATAACACACATTGATATGTAGACAGTGGTAAAAACGGCAGATCAATGTAAAATAAATTCAAGAAACGTTTTCGACATAAAAGTCATCATCAGCCAATCTAAAAAACAAAGCACCTGTAAAACCGGAATGGAAATGGATGTGTAGAAATTACAAAAAATTTATAAAAACTAACGTTAAAAAGAATATAAAAATAGCATCAGTTAAGACCCGAGTTAGTCATGTGACTAAAACAAACGGACTAAAAGTCAGAGTAATTGGGTGCAGTCAGAGTACACTAAAAGTTTGCAGATGTTGTTTCCAATATATGCGGTTTTTCATGAGTTGTCAAAAAATTTCGAAGCACCGAACGTGCGTTAATTGCTAGTATAATATAATGTCTATACCCATGTTTCTTGATTGGAAAATAAAAAACCACCTGTTACCTGCCAATTCAGTGTTTATTATCGATTTTTTAGAAAGTAAAAAACCTGAATTTGCGTTTCATTTTGTCCACTGGTGTACTTTATTCAATTTCTCCGCAGTTCATGTATTTTATGGCAAGTAGTGCGAAGATCTCACGTGGTCGTAGAAGGTTGCTTAAAATAAATTTTAGATAAATAATGAACATTCTTCCTCAAAAAAGTTGGCATGTGCGAAGAAAAGAAAATGTAGAAAAAGTTCGTCGCGATGAGGCGGAAGCTGAAAATAAGCGGCTTGAACAGGAACGCAGGCATTCACAAGCGGAGATAGAGGCACTTAGATCAAGGCTAGGAGGAAGCAAACAGTCAACTGAATCAATTCAAGGTTTGTATTCAAAATAACTGTTCAACAGTATGCTCACAGGGTACTTTATCAGAAGATCAAATGCCAAGAACTTTATTCGATGAGTCCCTTCACACTGTTTACGAGAGTTTGGGGGAATAGCTCGATATATCTGTGTTCAAAATTGGGGCACGGTTGGGAATGTTACCTTCTAAAAGTATTGCACGGCGCGTCCGCCTATAGTATTCATATTTTAATTATAATCTCTTTACGTAATTTATTAAGTGTCAATGAACGGAGAGAAAACACTTTTTGAGGCCGTGGGATTTTTTGTTTCTTTCTTAAGAAGAAAAATATCACGCTCAAAAATGTTTTTTGTTGTTGTTAATTGACTTGGAGTTCAATTCAAATCCGGTTGTTAACAGCAAAGCAAATTACAATGCAAATACGCAAGTGAAAATTGCACTAAAAATGCGAATGACTACGTTTCAGAAGTAATTTGTAATTCTAAGATATCCCAGCGGGATAGAAACTTTACCTGTTGATCCAATGTTCTCTTATCGAGTTAGTTTTGAGAAGTACCGGCAATGAAAGATTCCTCAATTTAAAGAGCTTTGATGTGATGTTTTTCTACGAACATTATTTCTCGGTTTTCGTGAGCTCATTGGCACTTTCACTGCCCCTGTAGGAGCAGCACTTTCACTGGAGGAGCTGCACTGGGCTATAAAAACCATCCAAAAATTAGCAGAGAAATTAAGCGAAAATTGAATCAAATCATGCTACAACACAATAAACTTTGTAAGAACCAAAATATGCCTTGAACTTATGTGGAGTGGAATCCTCTGACTCAGGGTTGCAAAAAACTTAAAAATACATGCATGCTAAAGTATGCTAAAAACTTTGCTAAAGCGTTTGACACAGTACCGCATAGTGTGCTAGTTAGCAAATTAAGGTCTCTTGGAATTGGTGGAAACATCTTAGGACTTCAAAAATCATACTTAAGCCAACGCAAGCAATACGTGCAAATAAGCGGCGCACCCTAAGAAATGTAACCAGCGGTGTTCCCAAAGGATCATTTCTGGGTCCCCTCCTCTTTCTGCTATTTATTAATGATCTTCCAGAGTGTATGTCCGATATGGACAGTTTCGGGTATACTGATGATTTCAAAGTAATCGTAACAAAGCAAGTAGCGATGAACAAGGCGACCGATAACATCCAAGCCTGGCTAAATACAAATATGATTCTACCAAACACAAAAAAGAAGCATACTCTTAACATCAAAGGAAACCTTGAAGCACACTTATGCAATGCCAAACTCACCCCCGTACAGTCGCAACGTGACCTAGGGCTCATAGTGCAGCAAAACCTAAGTTGGAATGAAAATTGCAAACGCATATCGAACAAAGCAATGGGCGCCTTATTCCAAATAAAGCGAAATCTAACATCAAATTGTAACTGGAGAATCAAATTAAATGCATACGCTGGATACGTTGTCCCAATTGCTGTATATGCTTCTCAGACCTGGTTGCCAAATAAAGGAAATTTAACTGAATTCGAAAAAGTTCACCATCATGCAATAAAATGGATAATAGATTCTGACTTCGGCTATCGAAATCGGTTAATTAAATTTCAGATTCTTCCGTTAAGCCTGTATGTTGAAATGCATGATCTCCCTATGCTTTTATCTATTAAAACAGGTGAATTTGATGTTGAAAGTTCAATTGAAAATGAGAAAATATGCGATACTACTCGACAGAGCAATCGAGGTGAATTCAAGTTTTCGAAACCGCGACTAAATAAAACCAACGAAAACTTCCTTCGAAGGACGAAACTACTCTACAACTACGTTCTTCGTGTTAATGAAAGTTTCGGGAAATATCTAAATAAAGCTACTATTCAGAACATTTACTGGAACTTTTTCACTAAACAATACACCGAAGAAAATAAATGTACTTGGAGAGTAATATGCAGATGTGGCAACTGCAATTCTCTCAGTAAAATAAAACGGAACTGAAGATGAACTGAAAAATGGGTGAAAACCCTTGAGACTCTCTAAATTCTGTATTATTATTATTATTATAGATAATTCTATCAGTGCTATAATCGGGGAGGGTAGATTTTTATTGACAATTGCCTATTTGCTTTACAAACGACTTAATTTTTTCATAAAATTTGCCGATGTATGTATATAGCGTTGGTATGGCCCTAGCTAACCTGTGCACGGATCGTCGCATGACGATAGGGCCCATTTTATTTGACCCCCTTTTTCCATCACTGCCCCAACTTGTTGACTATGATAGGTAATTCTGGTTCAAAATGACTCTTGTACTGTCTTTTCATTTGGTTTTCTGCAGTTTTTAAATTTTTTATTAGTTACACCAAGTTTGACTTAGTTTTCTAAATTCGGTTAATTTCTAAATACAAGCTTTTTTGTTCTGTTTAAGAAAAGCATATTAATCTGTTTGTTGACCGGGACTTCGACTACAGTGAGAAGAACAAAGACACCCATCGTGAAACTGAGCTGAAAAAAGTGCTCATTTACCGTTTTCTCTTCGATGAATACAAACGGATCTGCTGGACAATCTTGATCTTTATTACATTAGAGATAGAAGTTGTCCGCTAAACAGAAAGCTCAAAATTTACATTGTACAGACCCACTATGTTTCACTGCCTATTCTGAATGATTTTTCATGTTAATTTCATATGCAAAGAGAACCGCGCATTTTAGTGTTTTTGGGGTAAATGTAAAGGTTATCGATAATGACATATTTTCACAAAATTACGTAACGCAACCTGTTGTTATGTTGCATAACATTGCATTGTTAAATTTAGGCTTGTTGGAATGGTAATTTTTTTAATGCTTGTTGGCCTACCGCTCCTTAAGTAGAATCAAATTTAATAGATAACAATTCTATTCATTGTCGAAGGGAAACTGTAAAAGAGCAGAGTTAGGATACAGAGCAATGGGCGAGGAAAGTGGGCATCTCAGTCGGGCTAAACGACAAGTCAGAAGAAGCACAAAGTCATTGGGTGTTTGGGAAGAGTGCAGGAAAAGACTCGAAGACGACCCTAGTCGAAGATCTGGAGTTGCAAAAGGTTTGGCATCTTGGAACAATTAAGAATTAATCACCTCACCACCTCATTTTGAACAAACAAGCCTTAGTCACCTCACCTCTTGCGTCTAAGGTCTCTAGCAAAAACTTAAGCAGTTTCACAGAAGGTTAAGTTGTCTCGTTTTACATCAAATTTTTCAGTTGTTTAATACATTTTTTATGACGACTTGAAGTGTCACATTGTTTTTAATTTCACTCTTTGTACCAAATACTGTGTTTGCCTCCTGCACGTTTGTTCATAATTTGGTGTCTTGGTTGCAAAAATCAAAAGATTAAAATACTATAGTAGTGTTACTTTAGTGAGTGATAATTAGCTGGTGCTGATGTCACGAATTTAAGCTAATTTTTAGATTAGCTTCATTTGTGTTCTAATTTGAGTTCAATTTTTCCAATCAAAGTCGAGCATTTCATTGCACAGTTTTTGAACATGTATTAGCCAGAAATACAATCTAAATCCAGAAAAAAATAGTTAACAAGAAAATCGTATTAAAGCAAATTCACCGCCTCGATGTAAGTCTGAAACAATCAAAGAATATAGCCTGGATGGTCGAGGGACTCGAGAATAATTATTTTATTTGGCTAATTTGTTTTTTGGCGCGATAAGGATTGGATTCTTTATTTAACTTCAATGATGTTTGATTCGTTCTACAGCTTTCAGAGTATAATGAAATAAGTAATTTTTTTGTTCATTTAGGTTGTTTGGTTGTTTCTGTGTAGGCCCTCACAGCCCGTCAGTTTCGGTCGCGGCTCTTCTTGGGTCGGTCCACAGAGTTTCTGGAGCTAGGTTGGCAAGTAAAAGGCTAGCACGTGTACCGCTGTCTCTCTTTCTTTCCTACAGAATCCACATGTTGTTGTCTCGATAGTGTTTTCTCTATTTCGTCGATCTCGCTTTATTTATTGGAGATTGGGTGTTGAGAACTTTTTTATTCGTTTGTAGTTTTTCGATAGTATTAATAACGTAGGTTTTGTGTTAGTTCTCTCCCGTGGTTTCTTCGTCTGTCATGTCAAGGCTTGTTTGTGCGCTTTTCAGGTAGCTACTCAGTGATTTTCGGGTTGTCCGTCTACCTTCATTAATTGTTTGTAGCTAGTGGCAAGGGTGGTTGGGGTTTTTCATGTCTCCGGCAAACTCGCTGGCTAGAGCATTTTGCTGTGGGTTTTCACTGGGAGGCAGAGTGTTTCTTGTCGAAGGTGGTCAATAGCTGTCATTCTTGTGCACCCTGTGGCGGTTCTCAGTGCGTCGTTCTGTTTTGCTCCCAACTTCTTCCAGTGGTTTTCGGTGAGGTTTGGAGACCAGAATGGTGCGGCGTAGTTGAGGACGGAGAGGGTAATCGCTTTGTACATAATTGTAACATTCTTTTTCTTGAGTCGTTGTTTTCCGGAGGCGATGGCTCGGAGCGCGTTGTTTGTTGCCTGCTGTGTTGTTAAGGGTTTTTGCGTGTTATCCGAAGGTTATTGATTGGTCCAGTATGACGCCAAGTAATTTGATTTTGTGCTCGGTTGGTATTGGCCCCTTCCTCCCCGATATTCAGTTCAGTATTCCATTCTGCGTTTCAGGTGCTGAAGAGCATTGCTGCGCACTTAGTGGCGGAGACAAAGAACGAGTAGGGGGCGAGTCTGTCGAGATATGTTGTGTGGTTACTTACGCTAGCGTTAGCGTAGTCTAATGTTGCAACATTTTTTTTCTATTCTAACTCGCAAATAAAAGTGTTAATTAAAAGTGTACACTAATTTGGAAATTTCACTGTAGCATTGGAAATTGCATGGCATCTGTTCTCTTTATTTGTGAGAAGTGTTTGGTTTGTGTAAATTAAGCTACCGTGGCTTAGTGGTTAGGTTGTGCGATTCTTAATCTCTAGGGCGCAGGTTCGAATCTGAGACATAGCGGATTTTTTTTTGCTATTTCGAGGCTTGTTCATACTTTTTAATATTGCACTTTATAGAGCTGCTTTTTGTCGTAGTCTGGCTAATGCTTCCGAAGCGAAGCTTCGCCTCTATGTCTAATTCATGCAAATAAATTGGTTTGAAGTTTTATTGCTTCGTAGGTAGTCTTCAAGTTCATTGTTTCCTCCATTTTTTCAGATTAAATTCTAAATTTCTCAGCCATCAAACGAAATGTTAAGCTACTTCAATCCATATTGCCTAGTCGCGTACAATGTATTTTGAAAACATGAATGCTATGCAATTGAAATTCAGCTCTTAATGTTTTTGTTTTAACGTGATATGGACTTCGAAAAATAAATTTTAATATTTTCTGAACCGAAAAATTGGGCTCAGGAAAGAGCGACTGTAACACCCATAAATAAGTACAACATATTGAATCAAAGGCTTACAATTACTTTTAGAGCCACAAATATGAGAGGCTAGTTTCTAAGTAACACATTGGCGGAGTTTGAATTGACAATCTAGAGTCTAGCTAGATGTATAAATATTTATAAGAAAGAAAGAGAAAGAATTCAATTTTTCAATAATTGTTTAGTAAGGTTATATAGCATCAGATAAGTAGACTCGGAGAAGACAGACAACAGGATACTAGGATCCACCAAGCGTTCATTTGCAATGTTTTAGATATCTCTTTGAAACATCTAGCTCGGATTTAACATTTTCGACAGTGCATCCCATTGCTTTAACTTTGTATCATCTGCAAAATAATTGTTTTGCCGACCTACTCAAAGGAAGATCATTAATATAAATAATAAATAACAAAGCTCTTAAAGTTGATCCTTGTGGAACACCGCATTCAATTTCATTCCGATCAGAGCTCATTCCATTAACTTCAACACGCTGTATTCGAATGCGAAGATATGTTTTGAACCAATTTGGACAATTGCTTGCGAGGTCATATTTTTCTAGTTTGTAAATTAGTATGTCGTGGTCAATCGAACGTCTTTTTTAGATCTAAGAAGAAGCTTTAATTTCATCAGATAATGGCGATCTTATTCTTTTGATTAATTCCGCTAGTGCATCAATTGTACTATGTTTACGGAAACCATTCTGTTAGAGATACAACAGGAAGAAGTTTTCGAGGTAAGAATATACACGGTTGTACATTGCTCGTTCATAGATTTTACTCCAAGCAATTAAAACAGATATAGCTCAATGATCTTTTCCGTTTGCTCTTGATCCTTCCTTATGCAAAGTAAAGGCCCTCGCATTGTAGAGATTTTTGGGAAACAAACGTTTTGAAAATGAAAGGTTTATTATGAACGCTAAGTAGGGAGCCAAAATTTTAGTCGAAACTTTGACTATTATTTTTTTAATGTAGTTGTCAACTGACGAATATTTATTATCTAAACAGTTAATTATTTTTAAAACTTCTTGTTCATTGAAAAAGGAACGTTAACAATTTTCGGTATCTCAATTGTATGAATGTCTCTTTTGAGTGTTTTCCCTATGGTTGAAAAAAATTATTTAATTTTATTCGCAATATCAGCATCTGTTGAATTATCGCAAAGATTAAGACACGATTGCAATGGTTGAATTTTTTAGGTATGAGGTTTTTGCCACTAAAATCATTTAGTAGTTTATAAGTTTGTCTTGAGTCTCCGATACAATTTTTGAACTTTTTCCAATAGAAATTTTTTGGGGTTGCTTCACTTTTTCGAATTGCACTCTTAAGCTTTTGAATTTATACCAAAAATTGTTTGCATCGTTTTGACTGCTTTTTCATTTCTTGTGCGCTGCATTTACTTTTTTCGTAGATTTACGAGTCTGTTGGTGAACGAAATTGGACGATGTCTTGATTGATTTTTCGTGCACGTAAGAACAAAATTATTCAGCACTTTCGCAATTATACTCTGAAAATAATCAGAAGCATGGGTTGGATCCTCAGTATCAAATAGTTATTTTTTGTTGTTTTGGAAACCATCTATTTTTTTTCCAGAAAATCAGATACTTTAGGCGGCGACTTTAGAAACGATGTATCCCGAAAAAGAATTTCATCATTGAAACTTTTAGTTTTATGCCCCTTTCCAAAGTTTTTGGATAATGGTCCGATGTTTTTTGGTATTGAGTACCTTCGAAACAGAGATAGTATAATTTGGTATATGAAAAGATCCAAACGAGTTTGCATGTTTTCGGTAACGCAATTTGCTTAATTTCTAGTGATCTCAAAGCCATTTGAAGTTATTTTGGTTTTATAATTCTGAACAAGTAGGTTGTTCTGCATGGTATCTATATTGATATTGCCACACTATCAGAGGCCTATTCAAAGATTTCTTATCGTTTAAGAGTTGATCCTGCTTTTCTACGAATGACTTTTTGTTTGTTTTTGGTTGTTATTGAGAACTTTTCGACATTTCAGCACGTATACCTTCCTCAAAAGGCATTTGAACCTGTTTCAACAAACAGTAAGTACCTCTTGTTTGTATCATGATACAGCCACCATGAGTGCTTCTACTTTTGGGGTACAATTGATTATAACCACTAATTAACCAGCTTTCACTTGTGTCACTTTCTGTAGGCCATATTTCAGTTTGACATAATATATCGGGAGGAGATTCAAGAGTTATCAAAAGTGCTTCCGATACTTCTAAGTGCGGTTTTAAAGATCGAAGGTGCATATTAGTTATTTTGGGCCTTACACGAATTGATTGATAGATAATGACTAGCACTATTTGATAAATCCGTTTTATTAATGAGAACAGCTTTTAACATCATTCAATTTATAGCCAAGATCAATTCCTCCATCATAAAGGTTGCTGATTTTGTTTAAATTAGAATTGTTACGAAATTTATATATATTTTGCGCTCTTTTGTCCAAACACTTAGAATACTGCTGTCACGTTTCATCAATTTTAGAAACATGGCTCGCGCTCGGCTCAGGTCTTCGATCATTTTATTTTCTTTCCTATCCGTTGCCTTCGCTAGTTCTGTCCGTAGACTTCAGCATGAGATCAGTTTTTCAACCCTTCCTGAAAACTTTACAATACTGGGTTTAATAGCTCATTTTTAGTTGTTAGGCGTTTTGCAATGGAGATATCTTTTTCATCCATGCAGGCATCAACTGTTTTTGAGAGAATTAGCACCTTTTGCAAGGTCTCCTCTGATTTCTCAATAATTGTCTTTCCGTGTTCATCGGTTTTAGTATCCTCTTTTAGTCCAAAAGGATTGATGTTATCCTTTTATGTTTCCAGCTTCCCTGCCTCACACTTTGTCATCAGGTCTTTTTTTGCTTTCGCTAAGTTCTAGATCTTGCGCAACATTAGCATTAACTTCGTGTTTCAGCCCATTCACTGCTTTTCTGACACCTGAAAAAGCTGACTGCAATTCAACTATCACTTGCGCTACTAAAGAAAGAACCGCATTGCTGATTGCTCTTTCTACCGCGGAGCTCATTAGTTTTAGCAATTTTGTATCGCTTTCGTCTTCGCTGAGTGGGCTTAGAACTGTACAAGGTCTTTTTGATGTGCTTTTCCTTGCAGGAGTCTGGTTCAGATATCGCATCTCGGCAACGTTTGCTTCAATGCTGTTGTTGTCTTCTACTTGATTTTCGGTATTCTGAACTTCAAATGAATTTGGTGAATTAGTATTCATGTCTCTCCTGAAACTATTTAATAAGTTTATCAGATCAATTAAGCTAAAAGAACAAGGTTCTTCATCAATGTTATCGAAAAATGTTTTTTCGTTTCAAATAAGTCCTATTTTTAGCTGAGGAGTCTTTTCTAACTTCCAAGCAAGAAATTCAGATCTTCAAATCATTATATGCCGACTAAGAAAACTTATGAACTAAATTTTTGGAATCCGGTTGAACAGTAAAAGGAGTGTAAGTTCCTGCAATTGTTTAATATATGCACGACATATATTTTCAACCCTTCTAAACAAACAATGCGTGTTAGTTCACCAATACACTTTTTCCTACGTAAGTCTTGTTTTACGATTCCATTTTGTGGAAGATTGTCTGTGTTATGCAGTTAGAACTTTTGCCACTTAAATAAAGTGTATTTAACACTGAATGGTATATACGAGTAATTTGTGCATGTGTGAAAATCAGATAAAATAAATCCCCGTGATACCGTACATGTATCGCAAGTTCTTTTTCCGTTTTTTTTTTTTTTTACAGTTTCAGGCTGATTTGATTTTTTTGTGTTCCATTTTGTTTATTGCATATTTACTAGAAGCAGCTTTTCGTCTGTGCCTAACTCGCCTGTAACCTTGATTTTTAAAATATTGTTTGTTTTAGAAACTGAAGAAAGATCTGAAAAGAAAAAGTTGCGAAGACCCAATGAATTCATTTTCTTCAAACTCTAAAAAGTATATCGAAGGTAGCGACAAATCCGATTATAGTAAATCAGATAGTTATTCTGCCGATTTAGCTTACAAAGCACTTAAGTTCTCAAACGGCGAGCAAGATGTGAAAGAAAAGAAACGTCAAATAGAAAAGAAAAAGAAACACAAATCAAAAAAGTATTCGTCATTCGAATCGAGCTCATCTTCTGAAGAAGAGAAAACGAAAAAGAAAACGAGTATTGAACAGTTGCGGAAAGAGCGATTAGCGAGAGAAGAAAGAGAAAGAAAAAGAGCCGAAGAGTTAATTAAACAAAAAGCTGGGATAAAATAGTGCAGTGCTTCCTCTTTGCAAATACGAGAGGCGTCTAAAGAAATCAAAGACTGAACATGCAGATGTCTTGAAGTTGCTCGGTATCGGAAATAGGAAAATGTTGAAAGTGGAAGTATTTGGAATGCTGGAAAGGAAAGTTTTGGCCGAACTTTTTAAAACCGAGTACTAATCAATTGGTGCTTGCCGAACTTTAATATTTTATTTTATATTAATTGATAGTCTAAATGCGCCTTGGACGTAACTTTTTAAACTTTTCTATCGAGCACAACGTTTAAGAAGGCTTGGATAAGAACATTTAAGAATCATTCAGAGCTCAATGTTTAAGTGGCGTTCATGCAAAAACTTTCTAGAACTTTAAATCAATCTTGAGTCTGAAATATTCTAGAAAACTTTTGAAAAAGGCTTGAAACTCTTCAAACAAAATGAACTCGACTCAAACTCAAGGCTAGACAGTACCTGCTCACTTTTTGTCCAAAGTTTTGCGTATGTAGATTCATTTTAGTCTGAAATGAATCAACTAAAAACGGCAACCTCCATGATTAGAAATATGTTTTTGCACGAGAACTAATCATCCTACGAAATATTTCATAGACTAAACACATAAACTTGAAAATTAATTTTTTTCTCGTTATAAGTTGATTTTAGAAAAAAATGTTAAAAACAAAAATTGCTTAGAATTGTAGCAGAGTTTTTATGGGGCATTTTTTTTTTCGAAATTGGGCTTCAAGATTTTACCCCGAAAATAGATTATTTTTGGCTTTTTTAGTCTGTCAAAAATTACGCTGAATATACACAGTCAATTAGTGACAAAATTAAATCAAAATAAGCGCTATATAAAGCTCAACAAATCTTGAAAGGGTATAGTTACCTATTAAAAGTATAAATCAATTTTTTTTGTTTGATAACAAAAATGTCAATTATTTTATATTAAAAATCATTTTTATGAAAACATTTTAAAACGTTTTGCTTAAGTTTTAGAGGCAATACTCTTCTTTAGAAGCTCACTTTGATGTAATTTTGTCACCAATTGAGTCGATTGTTTCCGCGTGTTTTTTGATAGACTGAAAAAGTCATAAATATTTTGTTTTTGGAGTAAAATTTAAGAATATTTATGGCTTTTTAGTCAATCAAAAAACACGCTGAAACAATCGACTCAATTGGTGGCAAAATTTCATCAAAGTGAGCTTCTTAAAAAAGCTCATCAAAGTCATATCGGTCGTGTTTCAGATTCCAAAGAAAATCAAAATATTTGTCCGAGTATGGAGAATATTTTGTCAGATTTTGTTTGAGTTTTCAGACTAATTAAGACAAAAGTTCAGATGTTGACCTCCCAACTCTAATTGAAACGTTAGTTAGTTTTCAGTTGCTGCGTTATTTAGCGATCACCATTATTGCAGTTTTTCATCTATTTCAGTCGCTTCACATTAAAAAAAATGACACAAATTTAGAAAAAAATCAGTGGCGTGGCGTGGTAAGAAATACGTGAATGACATTTAGTTTTAGAAGAGATTTTTTTTATTAGAACTGCAAGTGAAAAAAGAAACGTTGAACTAAATTTTGATTCGACTACTAGAGTGAGAAGGACTTCTGGCGTAGGGTACGTTTTTAAATTTTTTTCTAGTCAATTTTGACTACCTGAAGGAAACCGCGTTGGACGTTAGGTGTGGTGTCAATTCAAAGCTACTTTAGTCGGTTTTTTAATTTTTCATAAAGATGTCGGTTTTTATTTGTCTGCTTATGTTTTATCGGCCTAGGTGCCACAATACCTAGGTGTTTGTCTGAAAATTTTTCTGTCCATATGATTTTGGCTGATATTTTATCGGCTTAGTGACCTAATTTTCAGTCGCTCAAAGTGGACCATATTTTTATTGCTCACATGTGGCTCGCTTATTTTGCTAAAATCCGTAATAGAAATTATAGTTCAAGTTTTTCATGAGGGCAGTTATTTTTCGGGATTTTTCTTCTCCTTTTTTCGCCTTAATTGCTTTCGGCCTATATTATATCGGCTTAATGGCCTCATATTGCGTCTGTCAACCAGCGAAAAAAAAATTGTGTGTGCCTGTGTGTTTTGAGGTTGAGGGGGACTTAATCATTTTTTATTTGTCTTAAAATTTTATACTTTTCGTTTTTTTAGAAATTTTCGTCCTAATTGGTTTGGGCCTTTATTATATCGGCTTAGTGGCCTCATATTGGTTCTTTTGGCGGTTTATTAAAGTTTTTTTGTTTGTGTGTAATGAAGGCGAGGGCAACTTGTTAACTCTTTATTAGTCTTGATTTTTTTCGGCTTAAAGGGTTTGTGCTAAGGTATTTTTGGCTTTGTTACCGCTTTGTAATTTTTCTTCCGATGCTAATTCACATTCTATTGCCCTGTATAATTGTTGTATCGCAGGTGGTGCGAAGCTCAGCTTCGCCTCTGTCGAACTTGAATTACTGAATGAGAACTAAATATTTCTGGAAGTTCTTGGGGTCTAATATTTTTTTTGCGGTTTTTATTGTTCCGACCATTGAAAACAGGGAGGAACTTTGTATTCGGGTGTATTTTAGTTTTTTTCTTTTTTCTCTCCATGCAAAATCAGCTACCACAAACAATCATCAGGCTGGTTTGAGTGATATATCATATTAAAGCCATTCGAGTCGAGATTCAAAATTCAAAAATGTTTCCCAGTGTCGAGAAAAACCGGTTTGAAATGTTTGATTTTTCGTCTAATTTCGAGCGAGTGAGCAGGCTTACATTAACTTATTTATGCTTGATTTAAGCCTTGAAAATTTGAATTTTCTCAAATGAAGCTAGTTTTTGGAGTTTTTATTTTCATCTTAGGAATCAAAAACTTCAAAAAATTGGGGGGAAAGTTTTGAAAATTAAAAATAGTTCAATTTTTTTTCCGCTTTTTTTTTGTTTTTCTTGTTATTTGTCTTCGAAAATTGTTTTTCATTTTGTATATTTTATAAGGAATGACGAAAATGCCTCAGCTGTACTTTTTCGCTCAGATTCCTTTATCAAACCACGCCGAAAAAAAAACGACACTAATTTGAAAAATTAATTTTGTTGTAATTGTTTAAAACTGGTCAGAACATTCTGTGCTACTTGCACAGTAACCGGCTTTCTTTGTCTCAGTTTTTTTATTCGGCTATTTTTTGAACGAACCTCCGATTTTCGTTAAAAAATCATTTAATCATCAAAGCAATGGTTGGAAGGCTATGGCATAAATTATCCAATGTTATGATTTGTATATGATCTTAAATTTGGAAAAGATGATTTTTGCTGATTTATTTTTTCGAATAGTCGCTTTGCTTAAGCTTTTTTAAATCATAGGTTCGTTAGATAATCCTTGTTTGTTAGATAATCTTTTGTGGGAGAATTCCTTTGAAACTCATTGTTCCATTTTAAATTGTTCCATTTTAAAAAAATGAATCTAGTTTCGTCCAAATTTCTTTTTGACATTTTTAGACACGTGTATTTGTGAAGGGCAGCCTCGTCCATAACCTTTTTCAAATCATGTCTTTTTTGTTGCGTGATTATGTTTATGCTTACCTCAGCAAGCAGCTGATTGTTTGTTCAAAATAGCTGGTATGCTATTATGATCAAAATGGTGAGCTCTTGTTTTTGAGCCACATGTAGGTCATCTCAAATCGTGATTCTTGGGTTGGGCTTGTAGATTATAAGCTTAAAAATCAATTTTAGTCAAAATTTGATTTTTTTTGAGTTCTTTGTGTTCTAATATTATAGTGTGCATTACCTTTAGATTAATCTTCATCGTTGAACCTTTTCTAGATTCGTTGTATGTTGTTTTGACCCGTTGTGTTGACCTTCAACCTCCAGCGTTGTATGTCGTGTTGAGCCTTAGTTCCTTACCCTGTGGTGTCAAGTGAGAGTACTTTATTTGTGTCTGTGTGTGTGTGGGGGGTGATGTTGACGCCTAGTGAGACCCTGTGCCAACTGCACCAACAGGCGGCAGAAGTGAGGGTCTATGCCCATATAGGTGCCCGCATGTATGTCAGAAGTGGAGCTGAGATGATACGCATGGTAAGCAGTGTCAAAAACAAACACTTGAAACGCAGTGAGGTCCAATTAAAAAAAGTTAAACCGATGTTTTAACCATTAACCAATGAATTTTTTTAAACCAAATCGGTTTAACGAATTTTGATTTTAAACAAGCTCAAAACAAATTGTAAATACTCTCAAACCTATAGTAAATGATGCTAGTTTTGAAAGTAGTCGGCACGCAAATTTAGCCGGACATAGTCAATTAAATCGCCAAAATTGCTAATTATCGATCGATGGCGCACGACTGAGTAAAAGTTTGGAGTGGCATGGAAAAAATGATTCCCATGGCCTAACTTAGATTCGGAATACACTCCTGAAAAGCTAATATATGAGCCAATATTAATTGGTTAAAACGTACCTGTTTTTAACCAAATCGGTTTAACCAATTGCTTATTGGTTAAATCAGCTTAACAAACCATTTTTTTTAACCAATTGGTTAAACCAATTGTTAAACAATTAGTTATATTGGACATCACAGTTTGAACATTCCATTTAAAGAAGTAAGTTAATTTAAGATGAGTGCAACCAATTTGTGGTCGGAAGAAAGCAGCAGTCTTATACAGTATCTCTGATTGTGTCTGAATAAGCTTAGGCTCTTAACCTTTGCAGTGCAGCGCTATCTAGTTACAAAGTTGAAGACCAGCACAGTTAGATTTTTGCATTATGTGGGGCTATAGTTTTTGGGAATTATAATTTGCTGAGAACTAAAATTTAATGGGAATTAAAACTCACCGCGGCTATAATGGGAAAAGAGCCAAAAATTCTCGACGGAGAAACCATGTATATAAACGTTAATATCTCTATTTTGCATCGACTGTAGGTTTTCTCAACATATTCAAAGAACGTTCGATAAAGAGCTAGAAAAAAGAGATATATAAACGTTCTATCTCTTTATCGAACGTTCTTTGAATATGTTGAGAAAACCTACAATCGATGCCAAATCAGCGCCTATACCATCATTTAGAGATTTCTGCAAAAAATTTCAGCTTAATTTCACCAATGATAAAAAAAAAACGTTTTTCGCTGCTTTTTATTGGCACAAGATTTATCTGTTCAAAAGCTGAGCATCGTGTTTTATTTAGGGCGGAGTTTACATGGACGAGAAGAACCTTGCAAGTGCATATGTGTTGTACACAAAATACGCAGTGTAAGTCGTATCTCTCATCACTTTCATAATGTATTTTATGATTTAAATTTGAAAGATGTCAAAATCTCAATTAAACTCATATTTACAAAACACTAAACGTAATTTTGTCACAGATAATTTTCATTCCTTCACCTGATATTTAACAAGTGATCTAATTCCTGCCTTTTCTTCTCCTCAACTTATTCTGTAAAAGTCTACCTTATGGGACGTCTCCTCGAGGGGCTTTAGGGCCCGTGAGCTCGATCCCTGTGAGTATCTTATGACTGATGCTTGTTAGTTATATGTGCTCACTAAATAATTCAAACTTTAAATGAGCAGAAAATGTCACTTTCAGATTGGCGCTGGAGAAACTTCCGAAGCATCCTGGGTATTCAAAGTTGTCACCTGAAGACCTTAAAGTCCTGAAAAAGGTGCGTACATTTTGTGTAAAAAAGGTTTGAAGTTTGAAGGAAAACAAGACATTTGAAGAAACTTCATTAATTGTAACAACACTAACAGAAACAAAGTTTTGACCTCGTTAAAAATTTAATAAAAAAACAGTGCAATTATTTTATACATTTTTGGTCTCTTACATCATTTTTAGAATGCTACTAATGACAAATTGAATATTTCAGAAGTATACATAACTTTCAAGACAATAGTTTTGTTTGAGCTTTCAAATTCTCAAGATAAAAATCATTGTGTTTAAAATAGACTTTCAAAATTTCAGTTTTCTTTGAAATGCTTGCTCATAATATATGGATAACTTCAAAGCTGTTAAAGAACTTGAATCGTCATCAGTTGGTCGAGCATTTCAAAAACTTAGGCTTTCTTGAATCTCTAATAACTTTGTTGCAGCGTGCCAAAACGTCTCTGGACGTCGCCGAAGAGCTGAAGAAACGAATCCGAACTCAACTGGACAAAGAATACGAGAGGTAGGAAAGTTTGATGTGTTTCGTTATTTACTAGACTGACCCAATCAGAGTACGAACAAACAATCTGCACAGCTCTCCTTTGAACTTATACTTTTACGTAGATAACAATAACGGCATCAAATTGTTTAAAAACTAACACTAAACAGTGAGCAAAGAAAGGATAAATAATTGACTTATGCGTGATTTTGTTCAGAGCCCCCCCCCCATCTAACAGGGGTGGGAAATAACTATGTGGTAGAGCGTTTTTTCGCCTCATTGTGACGACTTACTTCCATGAAATGTCGGTGGATAATCAACAAGCCGCCATATCTCCATATCTTGAAGCCGCAATTAGATCAGCATTACGTAACGATTGCAGTTATTACGTAACAATTGCATAACAACAGTGACGATCTGTTTGCTGGTTATGTTGCATATTAATATTAGTTTTGTGCTTGTTGGAATGGTAATCTTAGTTACGGTTTGTTGGCCCTTCGATTTGATGGTCTACCACCGAAACGTCATAGGTGCCAATTGTGATATTATTTTAAAAATCTACTAGTCGTAATAAACTATTCTTATTCTATGGTTCTATATGTTCAAAGTATGTACATAAGCTTAAAGGTTAAAACGTTAAAATGAAGTAGTTGAATTAAGAACGTTAAAAAGGACAACTGAACTTCCGTTCATATCGACCGATGGTCGTAACTAAACTGGTATTAATTAAAATACCGAAGGTCATTATAAGATACTAAAAACAAATCACAACATTTCCCACCGGGAAAAAAAATGAAACTGCAAACTAACTATATAACTCTATATACACCCTTTTTCCCCCTCCGAAAATGGAAGAATTTTACAAACTGCGCCCAGAGGGTAAATATACAGAAGCAAAAAAAATCCACAATTGAAAGAGAATGTAGCAAATGTACAGGGTGGCTATACAGAATTACAAAATTTACAGAATACGGTAACTAACTAAATAAAACTAATCCACAACATGTACATTAACATGTACAATTGTATCTACAGGTAAAATTAAAAAAAGTCCGGCGGTAAAATATGGATTACAGAATTGTTTTGTTAAGTTTGAATTGATATGTCGATTACAAGAATTGGTCCTCAAACTGATCCAATTTAGTCCTCACTTCCGAATCTATAGTCGATGAGATCTCGCTATAGTTGTCCACCTCTAGCGTGGGGTCCTTTGAGGTCGGGTAGGTTAAATTTGAGTCCGAAGAATTCTCGTGAAAGTGAGTCTTCGTGGTAGATGTTGCAAGTCTGACCGTCGGGAGGGAGTTCCTTGAAGACCAGGACAACGTAGTTTCTGCGACGAGAATCTGTCTGGAAGGCGCCTCCGCTAATGGAGTCAAAAGGTCAGAAGGAGAGTTGACCGAGAAAGTAGACCTGTGGGAGTCCGGTGCCGGAGAGAATATGGAAGTTGACGCCCCTAGGTCGTCTTTTTCTTGCACCACGTCTAAAAATCTCCGATTTCCGTAAAACTTTGGGGGGCCCACATTTCTGCGTGGTCTAGAGTTTCGGGTCTTTGGAGTCGCGCTGATCGTCTGTTCCGGAATACTGTCTACCATAATTGGATTGTCCTGAGATCCTTCAGTAGTATTCACATCGTGGATGACAACAATCTCCCGTGGGTCGTTGTTCACTGTCCTTTCTGAGCTCAGTAGTAGGGATTCGACAGGACCTGTAATACTTAAGCCCTGATTAGACTCGGTATGGGGATTTTGAGGTACGTTATTATTGGTCACATCGTCAAAGTAATCCTCGATTATCCCGTCCCACGAATCTAGATTTAAGGAAGATGAACCTGAAGAAAATCTTGGAGAGTCTTGAGTGGCTGTGCTCGCGGTCGGTGCGCTAGTCCCTGCTCTGGTGTTATCCGTTCTCGGGGTGCCTTGACTCGAGTGACCAGCGGGTGTCGATCCAGCTTTCTTCGGTGGAGAGAGTTTCCTTTTCCCAGCTAAACTCGAATGAGTATGAAGATTATGCCCAGTGGGTGTCTGATTCACTATTATCTTTTTGGGCCCTGGGAGTATTTTTCCTTTTATAGCCAGATCCGATTTACGTAAAACGTGACCGTTGTCGAGAGTAACTGTGTGCTCTGAAGAATCGATGATATCCTTCTTAACCAGATTAAAATATGGGTCCCTATTTTCCTGTTAGACACCTTTCTATATAAGTTACCTCTCATTACTGCTTTTCTTTTTGCCAGTGGTTCTGAAGTTCCGATAGTGACGTCCGGGGTTGTGTGTAAGCTGAAAGTCCTAGCTAGTGGCATGTTTTCTTCTGGGTCCGACGTGCTGTCCTTTTTCTCGTCCAAATAGCCATCTTCTGCCCCGTCGTGTAGTTCCCAGTTAGTGGCCCGCTCTTTGGACATTAAAGCCTTCCCTTTATCTAAATGGTCAATATTGGACATAAGATTTTTCCACCTAGTGTTCGCTACTCTATTAAAATGCTTTTCAAACGGAGTACAGCCGATCGCAGTTTGTTTTGAGATTCTCAGATTCCAGATGATTTTCTTCATCGAATCGTTTAGAGATGGCTTGGGTACTTCGAATGACATTGCCAGTAATTTCGATTTAATTGTGTACACTAGTCTTTCCACTAGCCCATTGGATCTGTGGTCTCCGACAGTGCAGTAAATATTTTCTATATTAATTTTATCGCAGAAGTTTTTGAAATCATGTGATAAGAAGCATGACCCATGGTCGACTCTAATTTTTCTTGGGAATCCGTGGAGGTGACAGTAATCGTTTAGTAATGAAATTACGTTTCTTGTAGAGGTGTTATTGACGATCTTGGCCGAAGGAAACTTAGTGTAACGGTCAATGCAAAGAAGAATGTATTTGTTGTTACCCCAGCACGCGTCCAACGGTCCCGCAAAATCCAAATTAATTTCTTCGTTCGCGAATGTCAACGTCGGGAATTTCGAAATATTATGGGTGCCTAGTAAAACTTCAATGTTCTTACCCGCTTTTAGACATTGGCTACATGTTCTCCCGTGATGGTAAATTTACCGGTAAATATGCGGCCACCACAAATATTCGGCGAGGGATTTCATTCCAAACTGTCCCGGGTGAGTCTCATCGAATTAAAAGTTCCCCTGATGGTAGCTGGGACGACTAGTTTATTGTCTAAAAAGAGTAGCTCATCCTTCACGTGTAGGTCTTTGGTGTAGTTCTTCATGTAAGTCCCGTGTATGCCCATAGGTCGATTCCTCTTTATCGTCTCTATCAAATCCCACAGCACCTTGTCTTCTCTAGTCATGATCTGAAGCAATTTCTTCGAACAGTGGTTTTCCGGGCGAATTGGGGAGTTCGGTAAATTCAGGTCGGCCTTATATCTTCTTAAGAGGTCTGCGTGGTCGGGTGGAAGTCTGTCGTCTCTGAATTTGAGGGCGATATTATGTTCTTCGGGAATGATCAAAAGGGGTTCGTTCACTTTGTCCATTGGTAGTTCTGGTTTTTTTTGCTAGATGGTATGAAGTGTCTGTTTAGTAGTAAGAAATGTAAAAGGACTTTGTCCGAAAAGGTAATACTTTTAAAATTAAATTTAGAATTATCGACTGGTTGGCAAATTGTAGTGCAATTTTCTGTCCGATAGTGATTATTGTGGCAAATTTTTATCGACTGAGCGATACAAGATATGATAGCAGCAATAATCTTGAGATTGAGTAAAGCTAAAGAGCTATTCAACCGATGCTGACCAATCACGTCGCTTGAATTTTCGTTTCCCGACGGGATTGTATTAACTCGTGAATTAGTATTTACAGCGACAGCTGGTCTATCTACAGAACTTACAGTAACTATTTTAGAATCTTGTTTAGTCGATAAAATGTTCTGAATTTTGTCGATTGAAGCGACTACAAATTCGTCGTCTTAATGGGAAATTGGAAGGGCTTTGCCCGAAGAAAGTCTAGATAAAAGGTCGGTAAAGCCCATGTCATCTCCTGGTAAATGTGAAATTTTAAAATTGAATGGTAAAAGTCTGTTTACCCAACGGGTCAATCGGCTATGCATCGTTTTGTTTCCATGATTTGCCGAAAGTGCTGATAGTAATGCTTTGTGATCAGTTACTATTTGGACTTCTGTTCCGTATAGGTAGTTTCTGAAATGTTCTGTAGCCCATACGACTCCCAGCAACTCTAATTCGTTAGTAGAATATTTCATTTCATGGTTGTTTAAAAATCTGGATGCAAACGCGATTGTTTTCCACTGGTCGTCCTGTAATTGTTCTAGGGTTGCCCCTAGTCCGCTATGTGAAGCGTCCGTTTTCAGTCTAGTCTTCTCTTTTATATCGAAATGGCTGTTTTCTGCAATATTTACAATTTCCGTTTTTAACTTCTCAAAAGCTATTGAAGGGCTGGTATCCCATTTGTATAACGATTTTTTTGTTTAGAAGAGGTCGAAGAGGGGAGCTCAACGTCGATAAGTTAGGGACGATTTTTACATATTGGTTTATCGAGCCGAAAAATGAACGAAGTTCAGAAATATTCTTCGGGGTTGGCAAATTTTTTTTGCGTCGGCTTTACCGACCAACGGTCGTACTCCATCGCCTGAGATCTTGAAGCCAAGCCATTCGATGTGAGATTTGAAAAATGCGCATTTCCCCCATTTAACTGCCATTTTGTTCTTATCTAATATTGATAAAATTTTGTACACTATTGATTTGTGTTCTTCCAGGGATCCACGCGAGGCTACCAGGATGTCTTCTATGTAACAATTTGTAAACGGGATATTTTTCAACAGTGAGTCCATGACCCGTTGGAATTCATTGGGCATGTCTCCCAATCCGTAAAATCCCGTTAGAAATCGATACGTTCCGGTCGTTTCGCCGCCTACTATGCTAAAATTGCACTGTTCACTTGTTTGATCGCATAGTTAAGTTGGCTATAGGCGTTTTTCAGGTCTAAATTACTAAACCACACTCGCCCGTTGGATTTTTCTGAAATTTGGAGCGCCACGTTATCAATCAGTTCATGGACATTCGGCATTTGATGTGAT